TAGAACAGGGGCTGACAAACTTTATCTGTAAGGACCTAATTAGGCTTTTGGGGCTATACAAGCTCCGTTGAAAACTACTCAGCTCTGTCATTGTGGTGTGAGAGCAGACATATACTACAATTCATAAGTAAATGAGCATGGCTGTGTTCCAGCAAAACGTCATTTACAAAAACAGGTGGCAGATTAGATTTGGCCTGTGGGCTAGAGTTCACCAATCCTTGATCTAGAACACTGAATAGACATAGTGAATGAATTGGTAAACCACTGAAAGTTATTTCTGAGAGGCAGTGTTGAATAATGTAGTAGCCGGAAAGTAAGGTAAACTAATCTGTCTTTTTATCAAAGAAGGAAAGAATGTAAATTCCACAAATTGTAATAATAAACTTGATGTTGATTATGAAAGAAAACTAAATTAGATTATTACAAGAAGGGTTGTACTTAAGGAATTGATCACTAGGAGGCAGCAGTAGTTCACTAAAAACAATTTACACCAAAGTCATTTTTCTATTTTAGATATTATAAATAGCCCCTTTCAGAAGAGTGCTATAGATAGATAGTGTTTTAGTACTTAAGCAAAGTATTTGACAAGTCTTTTATGAGATCACTTGGGATAAATTGTATGACAACATGGTTAAATGGATTTGTGGTTCAGGTATACCTATAGAACATGAATTAATTGATTAATGCCAGCCTATAGAGAAATCTGTACTTGTAGGCCATGAGGCTTTTCCTCAGGCCCATTCTATTTAACATTTGTGATTAATGACTAGACGATGATGACAATATTTATTTTATTCTGATAAAGTATGTGAATGACAGAAACTGGAGAAGTTAGAGATCCTAATCTATTGGTTGATCAAATCAGAATCTAAAGTAGACATAAGGATGATACTTCAGGTCTTCAGATATTTTCACAACTATCCAATAAGAGAAAAGACACAATTTTGAGAGGCTAGAACAAGGACCATTGTATAGAAAATTCTGGGAGACAGAATTTTCTCCTTTTTATTTCTAAGGCTGTATGTTCACAATTCTGAAACAGACACAATGCCTAAAGTCTTCACCTCACACCCACATTTAGTTGGCTTAATATGAACTTATTTATAATTTGCTCTCCAAAAAGTGGAATCGCCTACCTGAAGCAGAAGTGAGTTTTTTTCTCACTCCGATGATGTGGTCCCCGTTACTAATGCTTATCAATGTGTTCTGGTTCTCCTCCTCTCTTTGACGTATGGAAAGACGATAGTTCCTTTCCTCTTGCAGTTAGGTGTGGTCATGCAATTTGCTTTGGCCCATGAGATGTGAGCAGAAGTAATGTATATAATTTCCAGTCAGAAGCATTTAAAAACTTATGTGTGATTTTTCCATGCCTTTCTTCCGTGGTCATTGTGGAAGCATATGATGAGTTGAAGATACTATCAGATCACAACACCCAGGAGTACTTAGCCAATTTATGGAGGACAGTGGTAGTGTTCTCTGCATGATCAAGAAATAAACTTTTCTTATTGTAAGCCAGTGTAAGTTGTGCAGTTGTTATAACAGCATAACCTAGCCTGCTCTGGCTTTTACCTACTTTGGTATTTAACAACTAATAGCCCTGGGCCAATAGAAGTCAGGTGACAGGGCTTCTAATGTTGAATCTGACATTAACTATGACCCTAGAAAAATCAGTTTTCTCTGTAAAACAAAATTCTTTGAATGAAAAATATGGACCATCTCTTCTAGACAAAAACACTGTGACTTTAAAATCTGTTCTAATACTTGATATAGTCAAAGAAAACAATGCCTTTTATCTGTTCTATTGTTTTAAACTATAGGGTTAAAAGCCCACATTGCCATTTACTTTTTTAATGCCACATAAATTGCTGTCTATATTAGTTAGGACCATTTTATTATTTAGTTTGGAACAAAATTCTCATATAATACATGCATTGTTTTTAGAACCTTAATAATCTACTAATAGAGTATAATCCAGGTTATCAAACATCTATTGAATCACTGTACTTCTTTGAAATCATTCCTATAATAGAATGATTTCTGGATTCTCTATTTCTATAATAGGTCTCCAAGACAAACTGAAATATGGAAAAAAGTTGATTTTTTAATATTTTTTGAGTCCCAGCTAGATTCCTTTCTTTTGCTACATAAAGGGTTTGGCTTTGATCCCAGAAATTGAACTATTATCATGAAGATGCCAGAATTTCACTCTTTTTTCGTCTTAGCAACAGAGTTCTAGCTTATCTTTAAAATTAGAGGTTTGTTTTTTGTTTCTAAGTTTAGTTACTCTATAAGTATTTGGGCTGAAATACAGATATCAGATATAAAAATTCCTTAAAACACTCAATATTTGAATTGATTTGGCATCTATCCAGTTTCCCTAGGTTTGGCTTTCCTTTGAAAGCCCTACTGTCTTTAATAGAAGCTCAGATTCTTTTGGAAACTCTGATGGAATCACCTCTTAAGTATGTGTAGGACGTGCTCCATACAGCTTCCAGTGCTGTTTGAAATTGGCTCTTTAAACAACCAATCTGTTTCTAGTTCACATTTTATAGATGAGTCAACAATTGAACATCAGTATAACTTGCTCTTTAAAAAGTTTGTTCTGAAATAGTTTATACTTAATTGGCACCAAATCAGTATTTACTGAACAAAAGAATTTAATATAAGTATTAATCTAGCTATTTTGTGATGTTAGGAATCAAGGTTTTGAATTTTTATTTAGTTATTTCTCCTCATTATCTCCATTCAGACTTACATTAAGAATAAGTATATTCCATATTGTAAAAGACACTTTAAATTCCCTCAAAATCACATTAAATTTCTGTTCCCTTTTAAACAACTAAATCATATGGCAGATTACTACTGAATGCTAACCTTACCTTTTTTATCTCTCTAAAATCAGTAAAATGCATTTAAATATATCCTTATTATAAAACATTATTAGTTCCATTTCTTGTAAGACATGGCTTCTGGTCCTGATTCTAGTTCTGTCACTAGCTGTGTGACCTTATAAAAACTGCTACAAGAGTACTTCTCAGAGCACCATTTTCTTATTTCTAAAAGGAGAGGCTTCCAGTGGATGCATTTTTAGTCTCCTTTTTAACGCTGTGATAGTTTCTCTTTGTGCATGTTCAGTATACTTCTTTAGTCTAGGTCTTTCTTTGTTTTCAGAAGCATTTATAATGGCTCACCCTCTAGACTACATTTTCATGGCTCCTTTCACCTTACTTAATTTTAATATAACAGATAATAACCTATATACTGGTCAAAATAGGCCAGATAATCTACAGTAATGACTTATCTAACCTCAGTAGATTAAAGTAACAAAGTTTATTTCATGTTAATACTAATTGTCTGCCCATAGTATGTGGTCCCAGAATGTGGCTGTGTGTTGTCCTCATTCCAGGACCAAGACCTTCAAAGTACCCATTATCTGAAGCTTTGCAGATTCTGTGACAGAGGCGAGAGAGAAATAGCTATATCAGACATGTCTCTGAAAGCTTCCACCTAGAACTAAACATGTTACTTTTGCTCACGTGGCATTGGCCAAAGCAAGTCAATGTCCACACTTAACTTTGAGGGGCAGATGTACTAGCTCACAATGTGGCCTGGGTGTGGGAAGACACAGGGATATTTGGTAAACAGCTCGTATGACTATTCATCATGTTACTTCTGATAGGAATACAAATTAGTACTACATTTTATGGAGGGAAATTTGCAAATGTATCAAAAGCTCTAGAAATATGTTTGTCATTTTATTTAGCAGTTAGAGTTTTAGGTAATTATTGAACAAATATACAAAGATGTATATTCAATAATTCATTCTTTAAGTATATGTTTATTGAATATCTACTATGTGCTCGGAGCTGACATGTTCTATACCTTTATGGAGCACTTTGGGGTAAGAGAGTGGAGAGATAGTGCCAGAGATAATTCAAATGAAACAGGTTACTAGTAAGTGTTGTTCAGGGTGCTATGAAAGCATATAAGAACATTTCTTCTGACCTACTTTTCAGTCATCTGATCCTCTCTTCAGCTGTGTAAAATATACTCTGCAACCCCCTCCCCCTGAATTTTTAATTTCCGTTTTTGTAACTTTTCACTTTTGAAAGAGATCTCCTTCAAATGTGCTAAATTGATTTTTTATAGTTTCCTATCTCTGAAGATACTTTCAAGCTTGTTTTTTATGAAGAAATTGTTTTCTCAAATTGGGACATAATTTTGAATGTCCATTAATCTTTTGATAATAAAAAAGTTACATGGTTATAATTTACTGTTAAATTTTGATAATCTTCAGGGGAAAAATATGATTAAGATTGTGTATACAGATTACAACTTTTAAAAATTTGTTCACAGTGAATATTGTAAGGTAATAGAGAAATGATAAAATTTGAGTTAGGGTGTTGGGATTATAACTTATTTTTAAAACTTTTCTAACCTGTCTATAATATTATTTAACAGTTTTTAGAATTTAAGAAATTAGACTGGCCAAATCAATTTTAAAACAAAGTAAAAGGAATGATATTAATTGAGAATAATTTGTTAATATCAATGGAGAGTTTTAAAAGGCTTTCACTCTTATTTTATCATTAAATAAAACTCTGATTTGCAACCATAAATAAAATCAAAATTGTTAGAAGTGTCATTTTGATCCTTTTAATCTTCATAATAAAAAATTTAAGTCTTTCTATGCGGAACTATTGTGCCCAGTGTACTAAGAAAACTTATACAAGCTGTTCCCCTCTTTTTTCTTCTCTCATTATTTTGCCCTCTTGTATTAACTAGATTTGTCTCACCTCCATAGTTGGGGTAGAGTTAAGACTGCAGTTTTTTTTAAGAATAAAGAACAAAATAAAGAAGACCATGATAACTTTCTTTGAGGGCATAGTTTATATTAGTTAAGTTAGTATGCCTCTCACAAAGAAAACCAGACTTACAGAACCAAAGATATTTAACATAAAAGAGATTAAATGCTTAATAATTTTTTTAAATTTCTTTAGGAAGAAGAAAGGCGTATGGCATCTGTTGTAGCCAAAAAAGAGGAAGAGAAGAGGCGGGAAAGTCATAAACAATCCTTGCTTAAGGTATTTTCTCCCATAGCTGTATGCATGTGTGTGCTCATACCCACTGCACTGAAGCCAGCTAGTCAGCTAGAAAAGTGGTTTCCAACTCTAACATGTTCATTCCTATCAATAGAATGTTTTTTATAAACACCCCTAAAACTTTTATAAGTTTACTACCTATAAATAAACTTGTACTTCTGAAATACAGTATAATATACATTTTAAAACTCATGCAAAAGCTATTTTAAAAGGAAGAAATAAAAATAAATATAATAGAAGTTATCATTTGTTTCCGTACAAGTGCATCGCCTGTGTTTCCTCATGGCATTTAAAGTTCTAAATTTGAAAACTTTCTGTTAGCTTCTCGGTTATAGATTTGGTAAAGATTTTGAGAAATACAGGAATTGAAATTTGTTATAAACTGGTTTTAAGTGATTCAGCATATCAGATATTTCTTTCCTTAAAATGTTTTATTTTAAAATATTTTATATTAACATTACAATGTATAATAAAGACAGCTGAAAGCCTATGTCTTGTACTATGCTTTCTGCTGTGCTCTAAAACTAAGGATATCACTCTGATGATCATTACTCAATTGTGTCTTACCTAGGTGCTTTTCTTTTTAAAAGGGGACATATGTAATACTTTCAACAATAAAGATAAATTTTAAAAAAAATTAAATTAAAATGGTGTTCAGAATTCAAAAAATGACTACTAGGGATGTCAAGTTGTATATAATAAACTTATGAAACAAGAAAACTTGTGTGTGGGGGGTGTGTTTTAAATCTTGTGTATCTTGGGCTATGGATTACACACAGGTATATGCATTTGTCAAAACTAATCAAAGAGTACACGTTAATCTGTGTCTTTTACTCTACGAAAATTACTCTTAAATGAGCAAAAAAGAAAAACAACTTGGTCCCAAGCCCTCTCAGCTCAGCACTAATACTTCAAAAGTAATTAGAACCATTACTCTGGATACTAACATTTTTGTCACCTGTTATCTCTAACCTGCTGACTCCTCCCTACCTTTGTTTTCCCTCATTCCATTAATTAAATGTGCTTTCCCCCCTCTTGACATCTTCACCGTTTTATTGATTTAGCCAATAAGATTTTAGTTTTCTCTGTAATGGAATATCCCTAATGGTTGGCCAAAAACATATTGGCTTATAGGGAATATAGTTGTAGGCAGTATTTTTTAAAAAAATTCCTTATTGTTTAAAGTATTACATAAGTCTCCTTTTTCCCCCATTGACCTCTCCCCAGCCACTCCCACCCCCAGCACATGCCCTCACCCCCCTAGTGTCTGTGACCATTGGTTATGCTTATATGCATGCATACAAGTCCTTTGGTTGATTTCTTATCCTCCACCCCGCCCCCCCCCCCTTGTAGGCAGTACTTTTTAAATTTGAAGGCGCAAGGTTTACCATTGCCAGATACTAATACTGGCAAACCGTCTGACTGGTTCATTTATAAAAAGTAGTATTTCCTGCCATGCCACTGCTGCTGTCAGATGCATAAGTGAATAAGTGAATAAATGAACAAAAATACATAAATAACTATTTGTCAACCTCCAGTTGGCCAGAAAACCAAATGCATAGAGCCCTCATGATAGCCACTCTCCATTAACCCACTGTGCCTGTCTCTTTCAAAGTGGTCTTGGAAATGAATAGAAATAATGGCACTGCTTAGGTTAAAAATTGGATTATCCCAGTCATCTGCAAATGACTGAAACAGAATTTCTTAAGGTCAGATGGCTTTTTATTATAGACTAGGGGCCCAGTGCACGAAATTCGTGCACGGGGAAGGAGGGGTCCCTCAGCCCGATCTGCACCCTCTCCAATCTGGGAGCCCTCAGGGGATGTCCTACTGACGGCTTAGACCTGCTCCCCATGGTCCTCTGCTCTCTGCGGACCTGCCTGCTTGAGGCCACCGTAGGCCTGGTGTCTGCTCTCTGTAGGGGACTGCCTGTCCTTCGCCGCGGGGGTCAGGGGCAAGCAGCGCCCTGCTGTCTTCTCTCTGGCTCGCCACCGCAGGGGCAAGCAGGGCCCTGGTGTCTGCTCTCTGTGGGGGCCCTGCAAGGAACTGCTTGCCCCTCGCTGCCACTGCCAGTGGCAAGCAGGGCCCTGCTGTCTGCTCACTTGCTACAGGGGACATTCCCTCCCCGTTCCTGGCTGCTTGGGTGTGCGCCAGCTTGGAGTGCCTGGGTCCTGGGGATGTTCCCACCCCAACCCCGCCACTTGGCACCTGCAAGCATAGGCCGGACATTCCGGACTTTGGCCGCTCTGGGCCTATGCACGGGCCTACAGGCTCAGAGCAGCCTGGCTCCAGAGGACGCCTGTCCCTGTGACGGGGCTGTGGCCAGTTTCCCCTCCCGCTCCCAGCCACCCCTGCTGGGTTTCCCCTCCCGCTCCCAGGCTCTGTGGCGGGTTTCCCCTCAGCTCCCAGGCGCCTTGGCGGGTTTCCCCTCAGCTCCCAGGCCCTTTGGCGGGTTTCCCCTCAGCTCCCAGGCGCCATGGCGGGTTTCCCCTCAGCTCCCAGGCACCATGGCAGGTTTCCCCTCCCACTCCCAGTCCCTTTGTCGGGTTTCCCCTCAGCTCCCAGGCCCTTTGGCGGGTTC